GGGGGGGGGGGGGCACTGCTAAGAAAAATGCCCAGGTCATCGTGATGCAGAAGGAAATCCCTCGCCAGCCCTATAGCCTTGCCTGTCACCGACCCTAAGAGCCAACAGCCGCCCAGCTCGGAGGAGTTCCCGAAGCGAGGGTTCCCGCTGCCCCCAGCCCGCCCCGGGGGGACCCCAGCCCGCGCTGCGGCGGTCGGTGAAGTCCTGGGGCCACCTTGTGGCTAATGGCGCGGATTGCTTTAATTTGCGTCTCCCTCTCCCCACGGCACCAGAAGCCTTGGCCATAGCGCGGTGCCCGCCCGTGTCCGTGTGCGCTTTGGGAAGCCGAGCATCTCCGGCTGCTCGCTCAGCTCTGCTCGGGCTCCAGCCTCCTCGGGGTTTCCTGGGAGCCATCCAGCTTCCCGGGGTTACATGTCCTCTGGCTGCCCTCCTCGGATGCTGGGGCTACAGCATGTAAAACACAAGCTCTTTGATTTTATTTTTTTTTTTTTCCCCCCCAAACAGCCTGGAAATGAGGGGCCCTGTTTGTTGACATAACACGCAGATCCTGTTTCAACCACACAGTCCTTCTTCCACACACAGAAAAACCAAAACGTCTGGCTCTAGGGCACCTGGAAGGCAGTCAGCACCACAAAGACATAGGCCTGCAGAGCCAAGGGAGAGTTTCCTGTGATCCTGCACTTGAATGAAGAAAAGGCAAACCCACGCACTTCTCTCAGACCCCGGGAACAGGCCAGTGACTCACCAGCCAGATGACTTGTGGCTGGGAGCGGGCAACGGCTCCAAGCAGAAGGTGGCATTGCACTCTCTACTTCACTGAGGTACCACCAGGCCTAGCACTTAGAGGGGCTTCCAAACGCATGCTCCTTCCCACCTAACCAAGCCTTCTCTCCTCTCACCACCCTCCCATACCAGTGTGCCAGTGCAACAGGGATCCAGACCTGAATGCCCAGCACAGCTCTGCTAACACACATCCCGCCTAACATGCTGTGAGCAAAGGATGGTGGTGAGACAAAACCGAGACAGAGCGGATCTAGAGGGGAAAACCAAGGATTTAATGGAATGAATGGAGAAGCTCCCAAAGTCCACAGTGGAGCCACACTTCTGAGACTCTCTGACACTCTCCACTCCAGGATCATTCTTCCTTTCTGCCCACCAGAAGGCTGGGGATGTTCAGGACAACCGATGTTTGATCTGCCCCTTTAGAGCCCTTTCCAGAGAGAGGATTAAGGTGCACTGCTAACTCCATGCACACTGTCTTCACGGCAGCCTCTTCCTCAGCAATTCAAATCTTCCAGGGAAGGGAGTTCAGCCCAGAAATCTCTCTCTCCTTGGTGAGCGAAGAATCCTTGCATTATTCAACAGGTGGTAAAGGCTGTACAAAAAACACCCTGGCAGGAGGGAGGGAGAGCCACACTGATCCTAGCAATGAGATTCGAGCTCTGTCAACATCAGTAGGCCAGCTGTGGTGGAGGGAGGGGCCTGTCCCATGCCCGGCGTGGAAGGCAAGTCCTCAAGTGGGCAGGTGAGTTGGCGGAGCCTCTGTAAGGCAAAGGTAGGCATTGAACACAGCTGCAAGCACAAAAAGTGACCTGGGCCCTCCCCTTCCACTCAGGGGTACCATGCAGCCAGCCAGGCAGGGCTCAGATCTAGCCCCTAAATGCCAGAGATGTCCCAAATAAGGACAGTCAGCACTACAGAAACTGAGGGGATAACCTCATCTTTGAAACCACTCATCCCAATATAAGCACTGAGCACGAGAGACCTGAGACACCGTATGAAAGCTCTGTCCTCCATTTGTTCCAGGCCAGGGCTAGAAAGCAGTTCAAAGAAAGATTGGTGCCCAAGTACCTCCAGATCATCCTCTCCATCAGCACAGATAGCAAAGGGAGAGCCTGTGCACACAGGTTTGGCTTTAACAGGGACAGCAAGTGTGTAAGGGGCTACATTATGCTTGGTCCTTGCTATGCTCCTGCAGCTGTGCCCACCCCTCTCTGTCCATACTGGCCACAAGGATGGCCCATTGCTGTCACACTGATTCCTGAGCACCTGCAGGATGCAGAGAATGGATGAGATCCTGGGATATCAGGATGTCTGTGAAACCTCCAGTGAGCCACGGCAGGGACAGGATGCCTGTCTGGAGTCAGGTCTGCTTTGCCAGGTCCCTGGCTCTCCTGTGGCACATTCAGGGCAGCCAGCAATGGGTCACAGCAGTTCCTGGAGCTGGGCAGGCCCGGGCCACTGATACTCAGCTGCTCACAACACTCATGGGATTTGGAACTTTCTCAGAGCAAGTCCCCAATCCTCAGTTAAGGGCAGCCTCCAAACTGACTTGAGGCACTGGAGATCATCTTTATCCTCTCAATCTAATGAACTTTTTCATAAGGGTGCTTGCAAAGAGACAGAAGCAATAAAAAAAGGTCACCAAGAGGCAATAGACAGCTTGAAGCAGTCCTCCAGCCAGGCAAAACTTAATAAAAGCAATAGTCAGTTATAGCAACAGACTCATTCAATCCGTTTATTCTAGGCTCCTTGCTAATTAACCTACAACACACTAATGATCCCCCTGCAAGGCTGGACTTCAACACAGAAGCACAGTCCATACCCTGATCCCAGAGCACCAGCCTCACCTCTCTGAGGGAGCCTTTGATGGTGGAGAGTTTGTAGACGATCCAGAGAGGGATGCACACCATGGAGGAGAGGGCCAGCAGCCAGCCCAGGGTGTCTCCCCACCATGGATACACATACTTCTTGTTGTAGGTCAGGGGGGTGTATTTGATCAGAGAAAACAGGAACGTTGCCTGGCAAGGTAGAAGAGACCAAGAGAAAAAGAAAGAAAATCAACACCATTAGCGAGGGGCGGTCTTCCCAGTGAGTCCCCACTTGCACAGTCTCGTAACAAAGAGCTCCCCAGGACAACAGAGAAGACACCAGTCAAGCAAACTTTGCTGAGACAGCCCCCATGTGCAGCACTGGGCATGGCAGCAAGGAGCTGACCCCACCAGCAGACACCTCTGTCATTGCTGAGCTGGGCCCCTCTCCCCATTGTTTAGCCCCACACCTGCCCCCTAAAGCCACAAACACACAAAATAACAGGCTCCCATAGTACAGGCCACATAACCCCCTATACATATGCACATCCCTCTACATATATAGGTATCTATATTTCAGAGGCACTCAGATCTGCCCATCTTCCTCCCCACAGCTCCTCTTCCTGTAGGACCTCACCATGCAAACTGCTGGGGTGATGAAAAGCCAGCAGTATTTGATGATGGACCATGGCCGGTAGCCGATCATATCTTCAATGTTATCGTAGAAACGTTCAGCACCTACAGAAATGGGGGAGGACGTCTCACTGCTACCAGGGAAGGAGGGCAGCAGGGTCTGCATGTCCAAGGTCCTGCTTCAACAGTGTTAGGGCGCTCCCCAAAAGACAAGGCTATAACCTCAGCATAGCTGACAGCACTGTCAGGGAGATCACAGGGACTGTGGACAGCTTCAGTCTTTGTCTTGGACTAACATCCTCTAGCCACAGAACAGCCCAAGTGGGTCAGCAGGGCCAGCCCCTCAGCATCTCCCAGGCTAGGACCTGAACCCAGGTTTTATCCATCTCTTGTGAATATCAAGGCTGAGAGGGTCTCAGACTCCTCTATACACAGGTTGGGAAAACATTTCCCAGACAGGTCCAAGTCCCCGAGGAAGGAGGGCCTCAAAAGCAGGGGCGGAGAGCAACATGCTGGGAATATCTGCCAAGCAGATCCCCCAGGGCATTGCTCTGAGGAAGGCCCCACCAGCTAAGTCCAGGGGCACCAAAGCAAGGGTTTAGAGGTCTGCCTTGCACTGCAAAGCAATTGCTACGATGAGCTAGACTGGCATTTTGAGGATGGACTGAGAGCCTGAGAGACCAGAGCTGGGAACTCCCCCGCCCCAGTTCATACTCACCATAGACCCAAGCGATGCAGAGAGTCTCGAAAATGGCTACAAAGAGCAGGCACATGCCACTGGCAGCATAGTAATCAAAGAGCTGGAAGACATACATCCCACCCTGGGATGGGCCAAGTGGGCCACGAGGTGAGGTGGGAAGGGAGAGAAGGGAAAGGAATCAGTCACAGGCAAAAAGCTCCAGCTGGAGCAGGAAGCAAACTCAACATCTTCCCCAGAGCTGGAGGCACCTTTCTCTCCGGGGCAGGGTTTTAGCCAACGGCAAGGGCCACATCCCTTGTGCGCAAGGCCTGATGGAGACATGCAGCTGCCCTACCTTCAGGAGTCTCTGCAACCCTTTCAATTCCTGGGCTGGGCCGGGGAGGGCAAGTGAGTGCCAGAGGTAGTGGGGATATTTTAGGAGAAGACAAAACCAAAGCAAGTCTTGTAGCGGGAAGTGAGGGTGGAAACCACCTTAAGAGAGACACAGTGCATATGATTTACTTTACTCTCCTAATTTGGTGAGGGAAGTATCTGTGCATGCAGTTTTCCATGCATGTGTTACTGTGGGTCCAGAGGCTGGCAGCCTGGCTGCTTCACTGCCCAGCTCCGCAAGTCTGTCTACAAAACGGGCCTGTAGGTAAGCCCAGGCACAAAACTGCAGGTGCAACGTCCAAGGCAACTTTTTCAAAATTATGCCCAAATAAAAACAGAAGGTGCAAATAGCATCATGGCAGCATCAATCCACACACACACACTGCTAGGAGGAGTTAAAGGTTTTAAACCATAACAGTTTAACTCCCAGGCAATTAATCACAAGAAGGGAAATACACAGGAAAACAGTGTAATAGTTCAGGGTGCACTCAGGCCCACCAAGTTGCTTTACACCAAGTGTTCATGTAGCTCCATCCAGGAGGAAAAAGGACAAAGGCACTTCCCTCACCATGGAGCAGGCTACAGCTGTAAAGGTTTGGCTCACGTAAAGATAAATCTATAAGTTAAATATGGGCTGTTCAGAGCTCAAATTATCTGTCTTGGCAGAAGTATCAGGACTGTGACCGGCACAAGGCATGAGGGGCTGGAAGGGAAAATGTGAAAGCCACAGGAAGCGAAGGGCAGCCTCTACCACCACTGTGCAGCAGGATAGGCCCCACTAGCAAGCTCTTAGCCTCAGCATGGACCCCACCACCCACCAGGCCCCAGTCTGCCAGAGGGGCACCCAGACCCAGCAAGCACCACGCATGTGGTTTGAGGCCAAAATACCTCTGTGAGCATCACCAACCCAACCAGATAGGAGAGGATGGAGACAAGCAGGATAAGTGTCTCCCGGCGGTTCTTCTTGCGGAAGATGGTGGGGTACATGTCCACAAGAGCTGTGACAAGGCTCTCCACGCAGACAAACTGTAAAGAGCATAGATCCCATCTCTGTCAGCACATCCTGACTGGCTCCCAAGCCCTCCTGCCCCCCACTCAGCTAGGTTCAAGCCTGTCCCAAAGGGATGGTGACTTTTGCCTGGCAGAAGATCATCCTGCACCTGCCCCTTTACCTGGCTGTCCAGTCCCAGCAAAACAACCATCAGGAAGAAGAAGCATGCCCAGAGCGGGGAGAAGGGCAGCATGACCACAGCCCGAGGGTAGGCGATGAATGCCAGGCCAGGCCCTGCGGGAAGAAGGGCTTTCAGAGCAGGCAGCAGCATAGCAGCAGCACGGCACAGCTGGTGCAGAGCCGCCTGAGGTAACCACCTGGCCAAGGCACAGCCTGCAGCCATGCAGCCTCTCCAGTTATAACAGCACCGTGCATGAAACCCAGGCTCCTCGATGGATGGAGGAGCCCAGAAGGAAAGGAGGAAAAGGGGACACAGCAAGCTCCAGCTGCACTGACATCATGAGGGCTGGGAGCCAAGGAAAGCCTCTGAGCCCAGGGGGGCAAAACACAAGCCTGGGTATATGCCATGCAGGCACTTCATCCCCCCACCGAGAGACAGCAGCTGTCTTAACTCTAACCCTTATAGGCAGCTCATATCAACCTCAGGACGTGGCCATCACATCTTAATATTTCATGGGCATGCATTTGTTTCTCCATGGTTTTTGGAGGCAGGAAGCAGAGCTGCCCACGAGGATGGCAACCTGTAGCTGCAATATTGTTTGTCCCAGGATGGGTATCCTGCGGGTATGCACCCCTTGCTGAGGGGGAACAAAGAGCAGCACCCCCATAACACCATCCCACTGCAACCCCACTCACCTGACTCAGCCACCTCGGCGATGGGCACACCCTGCTCCCCCGCCATGAAGCCCAGGATGGAGAAGATGGCAAAGCCAGCCACAAAGCTGGTGCCACTGTTGAGGAAGCAGAGGGCCACGCAGTCCCTGGGAGGAGGGACACAGCATCAGCCAGGTGGGGGGCCAGGTATGACTCACACCCTATGGCAGCCCCCTCGTGCAGTACCTGCTCTCCCAACCCAGTCACTGTGCCCACATCAGGGCCTCTCTCCCAGAGCTCAACTCAGCACCAGGACACGCAGAATACCCCAGGGTGGGAAACACATCAGGAACTCCCCCAGGGAAAGCCTTCTTCAAGGACAGCATAAAGATGCATTCCTCACTAAGCTCCTCAGTCATGAGACAATCTTGTTACACATCTAAATGACTGATTTTTTCTTTTTTCCCCTCTCTCTCTCCTGGTTCCTCCTGTAGCAGTAAGTATCAGAGAATATTTTTGTCTGAGAAAGGGGAATGGTCTTTTTCCTTAATGTATTTCTCAGACCAGTTACAATCTTCTTGGTTCTCAGCACTACTAGATATCTCCTGGTCCTTGCATTATGAGAAAAAGATGAACAGAGCCATCCAATTTATTTTCTCTGATCTATTCCCTTTTGTCTCTGTTTCACCTCATTCTCATCCATCTGCTCTTTAAACTAAACATCTCTTATCTATCCGATTCCTTTTCACACTCCAATCTCCCTAGTCCTTTTGTGACTGCAATGATGGGGACAACAGTAACATCTGCAGCATCTTTCCAAGATATTCTGAAACAAACTGAATTGCACCCATTCTGGCATTGCATGACCCACTCTGACTTTATTAAATGCTACTCTGAAAATCCAGCATGATTTTCTGTATCAGATTTTAGGTATCTAGCATTCTGGGGGCTTCATGCTCCTCCCTACACACAATCTGTAACCATTTCTAGAGAGAAAGTACAGTTCACAGAAAGCCCCTACACCTTACAAATTCAGATTATTCCTTCCAATGCACATCTCTTTGCATCATCAAGGACTGTACAGCATCCAACACCATTTCTCTATTTTGTACCTGGTTTCTAAGGCAGCAGAGACTGAAAGAGGCCTGCAAGATGAGTCCCCATCAGTCTATTAGCTGATAAGGACAGTCACACTCTGCCAAGCTCAGCTAACTCTGTGGGAAATCCAGGACAGAACCTTGGTTTTCCATTTGCTGTAAACTGCCTGCTCTCAACTCAAATTATATTATCAGTAATTTTATACAAATTTTCATTTATTTCAAATAGTTTCTCTCCCTTCTCAGTGTTTCTCCCTCTTTCCCCTAGATGTACGCATGACAGGTAAAACCCTCCTTGGAAAGGCATGAGCTGGGAGGTGCTCTCCAGTCACCTGGCAGGTGGAAAGGGATGTCATGGTGGAGGGTAACATGCAGGGAATGGCCATAGCAAATAGGTCTCAAAATTTTCACCTGAAAGGGAGCAAGAAAGACCTGATGATATCCCTTGCATTCCCAGAAAACAAGAAATGCTTTGTTCCATTTGGTGCTATAGGAACAGTGGTCCTGCCTGCCCACATCCTTTTCTCTTCCAGGTCACTAAAGGTTACACCTGGCCTGGGATAACCGAGTGGGGCACCATGACAGTTCCTCTGCCCTGTTAAAGCCTGGTCCTGTCTTCCTACACAAGCCAAGGCTGCAGAACACAGAAACAACCCATTAAAACCAGGTCCATGCCTGGGAACAGGCTGTTCAGATGTTTGACACCAAAACTAAGAACAATTTCCCTAGCAAAGCCAAATAACATAAAGGGACTTTGTGAGAGCAGATGTCTCTCTCCTTTCTATAGCATCTCCCAGCTGCAGCTACAGAAGCTCTTTACAACTCTCTGCTAAGCAGCCCCTGTCATCATCTCTGTATTACACATCCAAGCTGGAGACGCAGAGGGCTAGTACCCAAGGACATGCAGCAGGCCAAAGCCAAATCTATTATGTCTTCTTTTCCTAGAGGTTTTTTTTCTCAAAACTGCATCTGGGAGAAGGGACATGAAAAGGAAGAAGAGTCCCACCCCAGCTGCTATTGGAGAGGCATCCCTACAGCAGGAATGAACTTCTAAGGTGAAGAGAGAGAAAGATGCCAAGCAAGGACTATGTAGCCAGTGGTCTGCCTGGATCTTCCATGGCAACAGCCATAATTTTAAATTTAAAAGGTGGAGCAAGAACCCAGTGCCAGAAGCAACATGGTCAGCAGAGAAAGGGTGGGAAGAGAGGTGGGTAGTTTTACCTAGGGGTGGCCTCTCCCATTCAAACTAGCCTTTTATCCCTGGGATGCAGCACCAGATGCTGAATATATCTACAGCAAAATTATTTTCTTTTCTCCTGATCACTTCAACTTCACAGCCTGATTCTGTTTGGCACCCTGGCCCATCTCTGTTCAAAGGTAGTCCAGCACAGGAAGAGTACTCAAAAAACAGAAGTCGTAACTGCAGGTGTATATATAGGCCACAGATAGCATATAGGAACCCAGAGCACTGATAGCTGTGCAAGGCACTAGGTTCAAATGAACCTAGGAAGGACAAATCACAAAGTGAAAGGACCCCAGTCTAGAACTGTTAGATCTCACAGCTCTGCTTCCCCTATGGCTACCCATGTACCCATGTAATAGAGTGTGGTGTGGGTTGGGGTCACAAAACTGATGAAGAGGATCTGACTTTGCTGGGTGTCAGCTGGTGTGGAAGAGGGCATTTGTCATCCATGACGTGAACAGAAAGTTCCCTTGAGTAGCAAGCACAGAGAGATGGATTTGGGGAGACAACACCTGGAAAGAGTTTTCTTACACCTTGAGTAGAAACAGAAAACATGACACTTCAAAAGGCCAGTAGCCTCCAGCAGTTCACCAGTCTATATACACTGATGTTCAGGGAGGGGAAGGCTCTAGGCAGCAGAGCCATGCTCCAGTTACCTGTAGCAGTTGTTATGGTATTTGTTATAGCTGCCCAGAGCTGTCAGGCATCCCAGACAAATTGCATACGAAAAGAAGATTTGAGTGCCTGCGTCCATCCAGACCTGCAAGGGAGATGCAAACATAGGTGAGAAGATAAGGCCAGCACAGAGCTCAGACACTGCGTGTATGCGGAGAGCAGAGCCCCAGGGGCTGCCATAACCAGCAGAAAGGCTAGTTGGGAAGTTGGCAACACCCAGGATTTAGATAATCCTTTTCTAGGGGCAAGTTATACAGTGCCAAGAATTACAGCGCTCAGTGAGGCACCCAGGGGGTGCTAAAAGTGCCAAAGGGAAGGAATGAACTGGGAACCTTGCAAACCCACAGCACTTATGGCTCTTCATCATCATATCTTTCTTCCCTGGAGAAATCTACAGAACCCTGTGACACTCCAGAGTCTTCCAGCAGCAAGAGACTGAAGGAACACTCCACAAGAGCTAAAGGAGCCCTCTTCTAGAAGATGAGGGTGACTTGTTTTGGGCAAGCCTGGTCTCCCACTGGTTGGCACTGTGTGGTGGTTTAAGCTCAGCCAGTAAGTAAGCACCACACAGCCACTCATTCTCCTCCCTCACAGCAGGAAAAAAAAAAAAAAAAGAGATTAAAACTTGTGGGTTAAGAACAGTTTAACAACTAAAATAAAACAATAATACAATAATAATAATGAAAAGGAATATAACAAAGAGAAACCAACAAAGACAAGTGATGCACAATGTAATTGCTCACCACCTGCTGACAGATGCCCAAGCAGCAATACATCCCCCTCGGCCCACTCCCTCAAGTTTATATACAAAGAATGATGTTCTATGGTATAGAATATCCCTTTGGCTAGTTCAGGTTAGGTGTCCTGGCCACGCTCCTTCCCAGCTTCTTGTGCACCTGCTCGCTGGCAGAGCATGGAGAAACTGAAAAATCCTTAAGTGCTACTTAGCAATAACTAAAACATCAGTATGTTACCAACATTACTAAGTCCAAAAACCAGCACTGTACCAGCTGCTAGGAAGAAAATTAACACTATCCCAGCTGAAACCAGGACACACAGGTACATACAGCTTCTGGTGGTGGCCTTTCTCTCCAAGACCTAATTTAAAGGCTCCAAAAAGAGGAAATAAGCTTGAGAGGAGAAGAGTACTAGGAACAGAGTTGTTTACAAAAGATGGCTCCTAAAAGAAAATACAAGAATGCTGTTAGTCTCACGAGGCATCTTTGAACTCCACTTTGCTCTCACTGTCAATAACATGACCCAGTGCTCCAAGGCTGACACTCATCAATGCCAAACTTGATCTGAAAGCCAAGCTGTGTGCAGTCACCAATGCAAGCACTGCCACTGCCTTCTGCAGAGAACAGCAAAAGCAGGAATCACCAGTGAGGAATGAAGCAATGACAAAGATTATTAATTAAACCCTTTCTTTTCTAAGATCTTTCTTCCTAAGGGGTTTATAAAATAGAGATAAGACAATCATTTAACCAGTGCTGAAGGGTAGCCACATTCTAGAGACAAAAGAGGAACTGTCAGGAAACAAAAGCAGCAGAAAAGTATTACTGGGAGAACTTTAATGAGGAAAGTCTGCATTTGGCTATACTCTTCTTCCCCAAGAGCAGCAGTGCTGGTGAGCCCTCAGACAAACACCAACCTTGCCCCAGGATTCTCCCTGGGAAGAACAGAAGTCAATGGAAAGCACCAGAGCAGTTTTAATGGCTGAATCACACCTGTACCTGTCAGCCAAGACCTCATGTCCTGAGGCAACGGTCAGCTGGGGAGCAACTGCCCACCCACCCCCATTGCTCAGGGCACTCTCACCAATGCATGGTGCTGCCTCTCCTTTTCTATACCAGCCAAAAAGCAACCATGTGGCAAAAGGTTTTGTTCCATATTTACCTCTTCTTCTTCCTAGGCTGATGAGCCTTACAAAGGGATGTTACAATCCCATTAGCTGTAATTTTCTGGAAAAAAATCTGGCTTTAGCTCAATGGACAACTGCACAGAATGAGAATCCTTTCTCTGCCCACTGCTGCAAGACCCAGCAGTGCAGTCTGTGGGGAGACAAAAGTGCTGCTAGGGCTGGATTTGGTGAAACTGTTCTCCCTGGCTGTCCTGCAAGAAACACAGCTAATGCTCAGCCCTACCACTTCCTCTTTGGTCCATGGAAACTCTGTTCACAATTTCACAGGGAATCAGATCAAATCTCAGATTTGTAGAATGGGAAAGGACAGATGATGAGGTGGGACTGGGATAGCTAATTCAAGGCACTGGGACATTGATAAAGTAATTGGCCTCAATGCATTTTACTCTTTTTGGAAGAGCTAGATAGGGATGTAGGTTTAGAGAGCAGGGTATTAGTTTATTTCTGCATTTCAAAAAGATTAGAAAAAAAAAAAAAATCAAAGCCCTTTCTATAATTGATTCCTAAAACATCACTCTGCTTGTGGCCAATAAGGGCACAGCCTTCACTAATCAGCTAGTTTTTAGACACAGTAAGGCACTGGGGTGAGCTAGACCAGCTGACACATCTGCATCAATAATTTGCATCTTTGCACAGATCAGGGTGAAACATTTTGTTAAATTTGTTTTTTATTTTGCTGTTCATTGCTAGAGCTTTGGTTTTTTTATCAAAGTTGAACTCAAATCACACCCTCTCATGGGTTTTGGAGCCCTTGTAGTTTAATTAGTCAGGATAACAAGACTTTCACCATCAAACTGCCAATACCCATGTTTGCCATAACGTTGGACCCAGTTGACCAGTTTCAACCAGATTTAACAGTTGGTAGAAACCTCAAGGATATCAACTATCTATGATTTTCACCCAGGGAACAGGAAAAAGACAGGAACGCAGCATCTCCACTGCATGGAAAGCTACAGAAAGGAAGAGACAACCAGTGTTAAATATCAGATAAATCACACAAGCAAGAGACATGAGAAATATCCCAAGGGCAATAAAAGAACTAGTGCTTTGCCAGCCATGGTAGAAGACAAATATCAAGACACCAAGCTTCATTAGCTCTGTGGCTTATGAAGTGGCTCATTTCTAAAACCCAGTGATACCCTTCACTGTGTAGCAGAGACCAGCACAGATGGGCTCCTCGCTTCGCTGCCTGCTCTGTCCAACACACCCCCCACGGGGTGCACACTGTGGGGCTGGGTTCCCAGACAGCCAAGGGCTGTATTCTTCAGGAAATACAGGACCTTCCTTAGCATATGCTCCTATTTGAAGCAGGGCAGCCTGTGCCTGAAACTGTAAATAAAGCTAAGTTTGGCTTGCAGAGCTTATGATCCTACTTAGCATGACTGTGAGCACCAGCTCAGGCAGGATGCACTTAATTTCTCATTTTATAAGGTTACTGCAGATCTTGGGCCAAAGACCAAGCCACATTTGTGCCCTTTGCAGCCCCCTGGCAGTTCCCAGATTGCTTGGGGATCAATGGACTGCAACAAGACTGAAGCTGTGGGTGCTCCTGACTCACTAGTGACAGAACCAAGCAGTGACAGCAAGTCCCAGATCTGCAGAACCACTGGGATCGGAAGGGACCTTAGCCCGTCTGGGGTCCAGCTTCCTCCTCAAGCCTCTCACGAGAAGCACCACTGTCCTCCCAGCCCCATGGGCTCACAGGGGCTACACAGATTACTCGCTTCAGAAAACAGCAACCCAAATCTTCCCTCCCCAACCTGCTACCTGTGCTCAATCCTCTCCCTGCAGTGACTCAGAGAAATGGGTTTTTTCAGTCCTTCCAAGACCCTTCTTTCCCTCCTATGCTGCTGATCAGCAGTGTCTCATTATTTTAATATTTCCACTTTGACTAAAAGAGCTCACTGCGGTCAGGTAGAGCTCTCTTTCCCTGGCAGATAAAAGCATGCTGCTGTTCTCTGGCTGCTGCTTCCAAAGAGACTGGTAAAGTTTATCTTATTCAGATTTTGTTGGCACATAGAAAACTGCAGACAAAAATCAAATCAAAATACCTGTGCTGCCTAAGACATCCACTTTATTTAATTCATAATTCAATTTCCTTGAACATGTTGTTCACTCCAGTTCGTAATAAACCTCCTACTCTCTGTTTTTAGCCAAAGCATTCGCACCTGAGCTGCAGTTATCCAAGATGGTTATTATGGCCTATAAGAAGACATTCTTTTGGCCCTTAATTTTTTCAGCAATATTTGCTTTACTACATGTACTGGAATTTAATAGCCCCCTGTACTGAAGAAGATCCTTCCTTAGGAAGATCACAAAGCACTTACAAATAACAGTAAACACCATTTTCAATCAAATTGTTATTGAACCCCAGTGCATGTCATACATCAAATACAGGTGTCACACTGAGAAGCATCGAACTGTGCCCATCATCAAGCAGAGATGATACAGCACAGCATGTGTACATGATGCATGGAGGGTCACCCTTGGTGTAATGCAGAGCAGAGAGCAAAAACCACCCAAGTCATGAGCTGCAGTTCAACCAGCATTTCTTTTGCTCCCAGCATCACAGCTCAGGAGTCAGCCTGCGGTGCTGGTGTTATCCATCAGCCACCCACTGCACCATGCAAACACATCTCTTCAGCCCAGCCTTAAAACGGGAGATCTTGATTCCTGAGATTTCACCTCAAGATACTCAGGGCACCATTTCCAGATTATTGCCTTTCTCCCTTCATTCAGGACTGGCCTGCAGGTCCCAGCTCAAACACCCAGTTCATATCCTGCAGCACTGCAGTGGTGCAGGGCTGTGCAGCCCTGGGGCCCTGCTGCAAAGAGTCCACCACCATGCTGCACAGCCCAGGCCAACACTTTCCCTCGTCCTCATTTACAGCAGGAGAGAGGAGGCAGGGCCTCCTCTTGGAGTCACTGCTGCCATTTCTGTAAAGCATTCCCAGTCCTTCTGCCCACCCTACGCTCAGCCAAGCATCATGTTCCTGGTCCTGCTGCCCTCCCTACACGTGACCAAGCATCACATTCAGAGCCCCAAGCCTCAGCTGCTTGGAAAATACATCCTTGTCCTCCTTGGGAGTGGGGGACAGAGTCTTTGTTCCCGGTTAACCTCCCTGTGCCAGCACTTATGGCCCCGCAGTGCCCTGCCAGAGACCACCAACCTCATGCAACCACCACACCTTGGGACCCACAGGGATGTTTTACACCTAGGAGGGCCCACCCACTGTTAGGGTTTCTTTAAACAGTGCAAGAAAACAAACATGTTTCTGATTCATCCTGAGGAGCATAGCTGCCTGCCCAAGAGTGGTAGAGAGGGGCAAAAGATGCTCTAAGGGGATGCCCCTTGCTGCTTGAGAAGCTGGGCTTTATGGTCCACTCTACCTCGCTGCTTGTGGGTGGGCAGAAAGATGGCTTTATTCCTTCCTGCTATGTCAGCGCCGAGATCAGACTCTGCAGGGCTGCATGGCTACAGCCAGTCAACCACCCGGGTCTCATAGCAGTAGGGCTGACAAGAGGCATGGGAGGAGGAGGAGCAGAAGAAGGAGGAGGAGAAAGCCCCACAAGGTAAATACAGCTGTGGTTCACCCCACGTTGATGCACTGCTCCAGCAAGGCGTAGGAGAGCACACCAGCCCCAAACCCCTCCAGCATGCTGTGGGAGCCTCAAGCTCTCCCTTCCTGCTGCCCTGTACCTTCCCTCTGCCCCCCAGGAAGGGTGAGCAGTGGTGCCTGGGCTCGCAGACCCTCTGCTGGGGCTGGGGGGCACAGGGTCCTGGGCCAGGGAGTGAGGGCACATGGTGGGAGCGAGTGTACAGTGCCAGCAGCAGCCCCTCTAGCACGTGTCCATGCACAGGCGCAGCGGGTCACCTTCCAGCACAAAAACAAACACATTCGCCTTCAGAAAGGGGAAGCGGGGGGCCGGCAACAGCACAAACTGAGTGCACAGGGTCAAGTTAAAGGCTTGCTGTGAAAAAAATAAATAAGGGGAACAAATAATATTTAACAGGCCTGCAGTCATCCTCCCATCTTGCTGGGAAGCAGCAGCTTTCACTGGCCATCAAGCAGCAGCAGGAGGGACGTGAACCTGGAGAGGATCTGGGGGCTCTGACCCCTTCCCCAGCATGGCTATGGGGGCCCATGGTTAACCCAGCAGGTCACAGCCCTTCAAGATGCACGGACCTCCTGTCCAACCTGTGGTGGTCTGAGGGGCTTATCCTCAGTGCAGCCTCTGCAGCAAGAGCTGCTTGCAAACTGTGAGCTGGACCCCAGCAGCCTCGCTCTCCAGCCACAGGCACAGCGGACAGACCCCCAAAGAGCAGGGGGTATCTTCATCTCTTGTCTTCCCATCCTGCTGCATCCATCAGAAAGCAGGAACCAGTGCAGACTTTGCAGGGGTGAATGCTGCTCCAAAAAGCAACTGCCAGGGAAATGGGTGAAAGAAGATGAGGGGGGTGCAAGAAAGGTTATTGGAAAATTAACACAGATGAGAGAGGGAGACACAAGGAGAAGCAGAGGTTGGATGAAGGTGATGCTCTGAATTTAGCTGCACAGAGCAAGTCAGGGTGCCCCGGCATGGTGCTGTTCAGTGTCCAGTGTGGCAGCAGGGACTGCTTACAGGGTGTCCACAGAACTGCAGGTCCTCTGATGGACCTCGGCACTGTCAGCACTTTCCTGCCCCCAGAACCAGGGGCGTAGCCCCCACTGGGCCCTTTGGCATGTCTTGGCCAGATGGAAAGCAGCTCATCACAGATAGTTCTTCCTTTATATAAAGAGTGGATAAAATACAAGGACATACAGCAAGGTGGTGGGTTTTCTGAAAATTTCAAGAGGAAAACAAGAATCGGAGGTTTTGAGAAACATTTGCTGGTTTTCCATAGAGGAGTATGTTCAGAGGCTGCTGAATTTAACCCTTTCTCCATTCTCACTCATTAAATCAAATAAAATTTAGCTAAAATCACTTGATACCAGAGTGAAAGGAGACCATTACATTTCTTCCTTTTAAAGCAAACCCAAACACACAGCTGGCACTTTCTTCATCAAACCCATCAGTCTTCTCTTTAAATCTGTCTATTCAAACATCAAGAGACAGAGAGCCTACCAGTACCTGAGAAAAGTTCTTCTAATGACAAGTTTCCCACACTTAAACATTATTTCTACTCTCAATTCCTCTTGTTTCAGCTTCCTGCTAGTGGATCACACCATGCATCCCTCTCCTTAATCACATCCATAAATCCCTGGTGTTATCTATAGAAATAAACAATTGATAAAATTGCCACAAAGATAATTGCAAAGGGTGGAGGGATGAAAAGTGAAAATGATGAACAATCCCAAGATTCCCTTTCAGTTGAAACACCCCTCACAGTATGAAATAAGTAGAAAACTTCTGGAACACAGAAAATGGGATCAAGGAGAGGGAAAAAGATGTGGCCCTAGCAATGGCTGGTATGCTAACATCATAATACTAAATATTATGCAAATAAAAACAAACCATGGGGTTGCTTTTTTGGATTTGTTCATTTGGGGGCATGCAGTTCAAAATAGATGATCTCTTTGGCAGTTTTGCTATTATCTGCCTGCTTTTGAGCAGAACTGGACTTCAGTATTGAAAAATTTTGTTTAGCAGTTTCTCTGTATAGTCTGATCTACCTATCAAATGCATTTTATTTACCATTTTAATTATAAGCATTTCATAGGTTTATGAAATGAAGGTGCAGGAAGAGTTAGGGCACTGTAGCCTTCATGGCCAGAAGGGACCACCATCAATCAGCTAGCCTGAGCTCTTGTACACAGGATTTTCCAGTTCTGTCCAAGGTCATTTGGCAGGTGAAAAGCAATTGTTTCCACACAGCAGTCTGATATTCTGACACTTAATCACATCTCAGCTGCTGCTGCTCCCCTGGTAGAATCTGCTAAATAATTCATCCCCTCTTTTCACCTAGATTTTCATATACTTTAAAGGAGTTTTGATTTTGTCTCCTTGTATATTGTTTGCTCTTTCTTTAAACCTCCCCTTGAGATGCCTTAGGCTCAGACTGGAGAGGGTATTCCTAAATTTTTTTTTCTATTTTGAGAGTTCCTTCCTAGGCACTAAACAATCTTCTCTTTTCCAGGCAGTGCAGGGTTGTGGGTAAACAATTACAGTTTGCTGTCCTCTGAGCACATATCAATTATAATTGTTTTGGCCCCCATGGGCTGGCAGGACTCATGCTGTCCCTGCACATAGAGTGGGCACAGCAACAGCCATGTGGGGCTTGGGCCACTAACCTTTCTCTTCCCTCTCTAATGGGAAAACACAAGAGAAACTTCAAGCCCTGATACATGGTTCAATAGAATGGCAAAATCACGCTGGAAGAAGGCAACCACTGCTACGGACTCCTGCTTTTCTCCCACAGGAGTGAAGCATTCATTGGGGAATGATGGAGTTGGGGAGGGAGGAGCAAGTTTTCCTCCTCTGGACAAGGATAAGCCATCCTCTTGCTCTGAAGGATTATTCTGCCTTGACACCAGCACACAGGCATTTTCCAGGCTGGAAAGAAGCTGTGCTTCTAAAGCCCAGGCTGTTATTGGAAAAGTTTGCCAGGACAGACCTAATGAGGACACAGCTAGTACCAGCAAAACCATGCCACACCCGAAGTGCTTTAATTCAGTCCCCTGGGCAAAACAACTACAGTAACAACAGGACTTTTCAGAAGTGAATGAGCAGCATTCAAAAACATTATTTCATTTCAGAAGTTTCTTGCATTTCGTCAGCACAAATGGAATCACAAACACTGCAGACACAGACTAGTCCTCATCCCCTTCCAAGTCTTGCTGCACCTTCACACAGAGGTAGCAGCTGTCCTACCCACCTCCTGCCCAGCGCCAAACCCAGAGAGCAAGAAAGGAGCAGGCACTGTAAAACAAGGCTTCTCACCCCCTGCTCAGGCACAGCCTTGACCAGAGGGAGACTTCCAGAAAGCTGAACAGGAACTCCATGTCCTTCCCATGATAAAAACCAGACTGCCTAAAGCTGGAAACCCAAGACTCGTGTTTAGTGCCTCAGATCAGAAACCACAAGTCAAATTGACTTACATAGAGCCACACGGCACCAGTGGAACAGGCAGGACCTGGGGGGTGCCCTGCAGCCCCTGACACACTGCCACTCCACGCACAGGGAACAGGGATCCCCTCTCCTCCATCACAGAGGGCAGGATCAGCCAGAGCTGTTCCTCCCCCAGTACTTATGCCTCCATTTGCAAAATAATAACCAAGGCAGCACTGGGGCTAGACCAGAAAGAGTTAATGGGGTTACAAAGGGCTTTGCTGGCCTATTTTCCAGACAGGCACCCTTTAATCTCCTTTGGAAACACCTTCACACAAAGGCTGGTACAGCAGCTCAGCTGGAGCCAGGATTTAACGTGGAAGAACTTGTCCCAAAGAGATTAAAAGCAACAGTCGGGCGCTGACCCTCCCGTCAGACAGGCAGGAATTTTTTCACTGCAGATGGGGAGGTGAAGAGGGCAGCTGGGTCCTGGGGCCTCCTGCAGCATGGCAAGGCTCCTGCCATCCGTACACCCGTCATGCTTACCAGGGAAGCTGGAGCAAGCATGCCAGGAGCAGGGCTCATCCCTGCAAGCTGCCAGCACAGTGCACCAGCTGCCTTCACAGCAGAGGAATCTCCCAGAGAAAATAGGGGAACAGATGATGCCACTTGTAATGAGGGGTTAAACCCCACTCACATACCCCTGAGAAACTCAGACCAGAAAATACAGTAACACCACAGGTGAAGGCTGAGAGCAAGAGAGCACAGGGATATCAAGAGTATGCACGAATATTACAGCCCTGCCTTATGCCCACAGAGAGTGAAAAAGAGGAGACAAAGAAGAAATTAGAAGAAAGTGAGAAAAGGAAAAGGATAGAGACAGGACAGCCACAGGTATCCATGCAAGCACAGCTCAACCACTTGGTCCCCCCTCCACCTTACCTGGGGATCCCCAAGGCGACTGAGATCTGGATAAAGGTAAAAGAGGATTCCTTGGGATGCCCCAGGCAGGGAGACTCCCCTGATCAGCAGAACAACCAGCATGAGGTATGGGAATGTGGCCGTGAAATACACAACCTGGAAGGAGGACAAAGGGAAAAGTGAGTGAGCATCACAGGCCAGAGCACACGGCACCACAGCACACCACTGACCCCTGGGCTGGGGAAGATGGGCAACAGCAGGGAACGGGTCAGGCTGCCTTGCCAAGCACCTTGCTGTTGCCTGCAGCAGAAAGAAATGCCTTTTAAAATGTGCCCAGGAAAACTCTGACATGCCATGATGTGTCTGGAGACAGAGAAGACTTTCCTAGTCCTAAAAGTAATCTAGACCCTAAAGTAGGCTGTCACCAGGTTGGAGAAGCCAGCAGTGTAATACCTATGTGCATGGGAGAAGGAGCTGACCCCACTATCCATCTGCACATCCCTATCCCAAATAGAGGTCTGACTCACACACAGAAAGTGTCTTCTCCGTAGCATTTAGTGGTAATGATGAAGGGGTGTGCAGATAAGAGAAACACATGATTGTTACCACAGGACGGAGTCCCCCACTCAGGGCTGGCACTGGTGACTGGCTTGTGCCCACCGCTCACAGCTGCTGCCTCAGACTGACCCCTGTTCAAATACCCAACACAGGCACTTCAGGCAGAGCAGGGCAGCATGGTTCAGACTTGCCAGCAAGCATACAGACCAGAACAAGACCTGTGTCCTCTTGTTTTTTATGCCCCTAGTCCCATGAGCAATACAGACCTACTCAGGTAGGGTTGAAATCCCTTCCTTTACAAAGGAGCCACATCCCCTGGGGGAATGCTGCAGGCCAGTATCAGATAATCCTGTCAGGGACTGGTAAAGATAACACTCAATTTGGGGATTACTAGGGTACTTTCAGGACTGTTCATGCTAATTGCTGTAGCATGCCACAACAACATGTTGTAGTCTGTGTTTTCTGCACAAACTCATATCAAGGGCCCATGCAGTGCCCCCAGCAACTCAAGTAGTGTTATTAATCCTTTCGTATTGCCCCACACCTTCAAGATAAAAAAAAAAAAAAAAAAAAAAAAAAAATCAGTCTGTTGTATCATGCTAGGCCAAAAAAGAAATGTTGCTGCTTCAGGTTTTTCCCATGTGGATGTGCTAAGTGAGGATTAGCATCAGCACGCTTTACCTGCATGCTGCCCTACAGCTCTTTTCTCAGCGTTGGCAGTCACACACCAGAGAGCTAAAGCTCATCTCTGGAGGAGCCACAAAATGTAATTATGTGAAATGATCTATTCCTCACACCTGCTCATCCATCCTGAATGAGTTGTTTCAAAATCCACCTAAAGCCCACCATCCCTGTGTGGGGGTCACAGGCTCTGCCACAGCTAGAGCAGTTTCTGCATTAGAGGGGTTCCTGCTAAGAACAAGTGTATGATTTCCATGGACAGTATGACCGTTTTCACTTTCTGCCCTGGGTAGTCCTTACAATCTGAATAGTGATTCAAAAAGAGATTATTTTTCTGGATCCACTCAGATGGAATAAAGCAACATCCAAAGCACCTGGCACTCAACGCAAGCCCTCCTCTAAGTCAAGATACACTCTTTGGTGATTCAGTTTTGTAATGTGGAAGGACAGAAGGATCTGAGATATCCCTTCCTTGAAAAACCACACTACTAGATCATTCTCTCTGTCTACAGCTCCAGGTTTTCTATGTATTTCATGTGCCCTGCTCTGTATATCACAGCAGTCTTGCATAATGCCACAGAGATCAGTGAAAAAGACCTCCTTGCTGGGGATCATGATTGCCTGAGATGTCTGTGTGAGCAGATCCATCCCTGTCCCTCTGAATCTGCATCCTGAACGTTGAAGGAACCCAGGAAGAGCATCCTTCAACACAGGCAAACACCATCACTCATTTCATTCTCAGATTTTCAAGGAGTCTCTGATTTAGAGCTTTTCAGTGACAGTTAATCAAATCTGCAGGTCCTGTGAGTTTAACAATCATCTCTGTATTTACCACACAACCAGATTTTTCCTTCAGCAAATTACAAGATGCAAGATTAATCTTTCTCAGCTCATGAAAGCAAGGTTGAAAACAAAAATCCTAAAAACAATCCATTGCCTTTGAACCCTAGTAGACATTCTTCCAGTATGTCAGGTCGCACATTCTTTTCTGGATTTCTAATTAACATAAGTTTCAGGAGCTCAGAATACAGACTGGTAGTTGTCTGGCATATGATTTGGATTCACATTTTGGTAGCATCCTATGTGCTTTGGAGCCTGCACAAACTATCATGTTAAGCTTTCCACTCAACAGTCACTCACATCTGCACTGAGACCAGAGACCTGAATTTGGAGATTGTTTTGCTGTATTAAGAGTGCTAAACTTCTATCTAACAACAGGAACATCTGGATCCAATGAGATATTACTCAGTGCTTGGCTCAGACCCAATCTTTTTATTTCTGGGGCATTGTTAGCACTAGCTACATCACTAGGAACCTTGCCGGGATCAGTGTGATCATTCTGTCACATGCTGGCCAACAACATCCAGGGTTTTATTTGAATCTGATCCACATGCCTCGGCAAAGTGGTTCCATCTGTGACAACCTCCTGCATCTGTGAGTGCTCCTTGGGAACGGGCAGTCCCCACGTCAGAGGATGCAAACTGCTGCTGCTGTTCTGCGTAGGGTGATTTCAGCTCATGGTGTTTGCTCCTCCACAGGCAAATCCCCAGAACTAAGGTATATCTCCTCCCCAGTGAGACTGTATATTCCCAGAGTCATCATTTTACCTGGATTATTAAATATGCAGAGGGTTAATAAACCTATGGACACTGTTGCTTTACTAAAAGAAGTTTTCTGTTTTCAAGAAGATAAGATCTCACCATCGCTAGTCCTTTTAGCTAAATAGAACTTGCATTTAACCTAGAGCTTGTAGCTAAAATAGACTGAATTTGTTCCCAGCACTTCCCACACTATGTTTGCTGTATCTTAGTATCATATTTGCTGTTATTAGACTGCCTATGCTTTCTTTTACCAGGCCACCACAGCAAGCAGTTGCTCTTTTCTTCTAATTTTACTCCATGGAAACCAGTGAACATCATATCTGCAAGCTGCTTGATTTCCCTGTCATGTTTCATAACCCCAGACCATTCTGGAAGCAGGAGAAACTGCTAACATCCATGCTATCAACTTGATGGAAACAGATGCAGCTAAAATTTACAACCCATCACACATGATGACTTGTTCAAAGCTTGCAGAGAAGACACCATTTAGGTAACATACTGAATCTTTTAATTTCCATTTCCTGTCCTTGTTGACTCCAGACAAAATTGGCTGGGAATGGGGTCAGGAGGTAGTAGCAAAATATAAGTAATGGGACCAGTGCAAATTACAGTGGCACACTCTGCAACAGAGGGAGCATGGGACGGAGCCAGAGAGTCACCCCAACTCTCCCCAGAAGCATTCAAAGAAATACCTCTATGGTGACTAATGTAGGGGAATAAAAGACCTTTATTGCTGGGGAGTACAAGCAACTGTAGGAAGAGTTGGAATGAATGAAAAGAAAAAAAAAGAAGATCCCTGTGGTGATGAGGCAGAGGGCTCTGAGGCCATCAGTTACCTCCATTACTACTGAATTTCCAGCTGCACATGCCAGCAGCTTACTCTGTGGTGGGAGGGAGTGGAACATGCAGCCACCCCATAAACAGGAAGACTGAAGGGTGTCCCAGACCTGTGGACGGAGAGGGACCAGATGGGGATATACATCTTGGAAGTTAGTGCTCTGAGACGTCTTGGCGCTCCCATCCTTTCCTACCCAAAACACAGAGCCTGGCTCACGCTCCTGCTGCAAATTGAGCCCCACAGGCTCCTGCCAACTTATTCAGAGGGTGGTTCCCAGGGGATCCCTAGGACCTCTCTGAATGTACAAAATGTGAGTAGATCAAGTGCTCTGGCTGTGATCAAGGGAAGAGGCTTGATCTGTACCAAAGACTCACCTTGCCTGTGGACTTGACCCCTTTCCAAATGCAGAAGTAACAGATGATCCACGCCAGCAAGAGACAGAGAGCCAGCTCCCAGCGCAGGCTGCCCAGGTGCTGGATGCCATCGGAAATCTTTAGCACTCTCCTCCTGCATTGAGGGAAAGAAAGGAATATCCAAGTGTCACTGATGTTGGCCACGAATGTTCCCAACACCACACTGGTTCTCACCACACCTCCACAGCACCTGATAGCTTTGGGGAGAAGAGCTGTCTTACTAACAAGGCCCAGGTCTGAGCTGCAAGACTCAGAGGAATCAACCAGTGCTCCCCTCTTAAAAGTACTACCAGCCTGGCAGATCACACTCACTAAAGCGCTGGCCCATTGGGCCAAGACGTTTCTTCTCCTGTTCTCCCACCCTTCATCTATCTTGTCCTCTAGGGTAAGAGCCCTCTCTCTCTTCAAGAACGTGCAGCACTTTGCACATAGAAACTCTGTCTGGGCCTTTTACATGCACATTACAAAGTTCACCTACATTTCTGACATGCTTCAAACCTCAAAATGAATGATATGTTGCACTTACCATGCAGAATCCATCAGGACCACCCAAGAAGAAATGCTGTCCAACCCCTTCTCCATAGCACACTTCTGTCTTTAGGAGCAGCCACATATTTCATCTCAGGACCCAGAGCAGCATAGCATCCCATCCCATGACTAAGACTCAACCAAGACCATAATAAACTCCACTGCACAGACAGAAGAGGAAACCTTAGGCATCCTGTTTCAGCCAGGGTGGAAATAGGATCCTGGGCTAGATGGACCTTGGTTCAGCTAAGGTCTTACAGTCTCACCCTGACCATATAGCAGCTTTCCATGTCACATGTATGTCAAATCTTCCTCATCATTTACAGAAGGACTTGGCCTCCACCACCTCCTACACCAGACAGATGGATCCAAGCATGAAACACCATGATGCACCCAAAACCCCAAGTCTGATACAGGCAGAGAGGGACATGCACTACCCTGGAGCCCAGCAGCAGTGTCCACTACAAAAGACAGCGCTTACCCCAAAATAAAGTTTGCATTCTTGGAGAATCGCAGTCTAAGACACACTGCCTCCTTTCCTGCCCCACAGCCTGGCAGTGGATTGAGAGAATGAAAGGGGGGTCAGAAAAATCACGCTGGTCCACCAGATACATTTCATCACATTGCCTCTTTGCCTGCTTCTAAGGACATGGACCCTGTAACCAGTGGGGAAGTAGACCATAACTAACTGGGCACTGTACTGCAGCCAGAAAAGCCTTCAGAAGTGTGTCATCAGCCCACGTGTCATCAGCCCACGTGTCATCAGCCCACGTGTCATCAGCCCACTGGCAGGTCAGTGCTACTTGAGGAAAACGTGGCCTCCTACCTCCCTGCCCAGGAAGGGCAGGAACAGATGCTGCATCAGAAGCAATGGACAGTGGAAACTTCCAGTCCCATGGGCTTATTCCCCAGTAACACAAGAATGGTCACAGCAGTGATGGGAACATCAACTTTTCCAGCAGCCAGCCTCAAGAAAAGCAATCTAAGGCAGACGGAGAGTGCAGGCTCAGGGAGCACAGAGGAGACAAAGGAAATTTAAAAACAGCATCCCTGTGCTGAGCCGAGGATGCCCTGGAGGTACTGTGTGTTCTGTGCACTGACAGCACCCAGCAGCACTGCTGAGGGCAGAGCCCTTCATCCATCTAAACACGCAGGGGAAATTCACGGTGGCAGCAGTGGGGTTACTCACACAGTCTATTAGACAGGGATCAGTGCTTAACTGGACCTGTTTCCCAAGAGATGCTGATGGTCATCAGAGATCCCAAGCCAACAGGCCTATGCCTTCATGACAGAAATAAAGCTGCTCTGTCCCTCAGGGTGACTAACACAAGGGGAGAAAGAACAAAAACGAGGGGAAAAAATTTCAGCATGAAGTAAGCTGATGCTAGCACTTAATTTTGATTTTGGTGAGCTTCTCTCCTTAGGGTAACTTGCATATTAGTCACTCTAAAGTGAAAACATCACCTCTTTTTCTGTTTTTAAGATGAAGACTAGCCCACATACAAAAGTCACCATCCACCATGCCAGAGCCTTCTGGGAACATGCTGGTATCACACAGTAGCACAGATTCAAAGGAAAGAGATCATGTAGTGCTCCACCAGCATGGACTCCTGCAGTACATCACAGGGCTTTAAGGTCTCCTTGTCAACAGCTGAACATGCTACAGCTTGCAAAACATGCAGACAAAAACCCATTGCAGAGCTGTTGCTTTGTGGATTACTACAGATCTCACCCCACTTTCACCTACAGTCTTGGCACCGATGTCCTGAGCATGATTATGCTGGATGTGGCCACCAGGCCCATCAAAGACTGCGTAGGGCAGAGTGCTCCAAAGAGAACAAGAGCAATGGATAATAGAGCAGATAGATAAACTATCATCCAAACCATAGGGTAATGGCCACTATATCCTGAGGGAGCGCCACTAATTTTATTGAAGTTTGCACCCTGGGTGAGTTTGAACCAAAGCTTCAGGATGGGGAACATGCAGCCAATTCACCTACATTGCAGGAGGAAACAACTGGATAAGGAAGCTCACAGCTGGCAATGAAGAACAATGGAGGAGGCTGGGAATGGAGCAGCACAAATGGAGAAAGGGAGTGTGCAATAGTAGAGAAGGAATAAGAAAGAAAAGGACAATAAATGAAATATCAAGGACCAGAGAAGGCAAAGCATCAGTGAGGTAAAGTCTTGCACAATTGGCTAGCCATCATGGAGGTCAGTGAGACCGAGAAGCAGAAAAGGTCCAGAGGGACAAGAATACAGCATCAGAGAAGGACAAAGTCAGATGGCTCTGAGGCATTCCAGCACAGCTCCAGACAAACACCACAGGCCCAGCGACATTATCCTTGACTGATGGTGCTGCCCCCGAGATCCTTCACTCTGACCTGCCCAGATTCCTCCTGTGTCCTCTTCTGTCAAGGATGGGTTAATAGGATGTGCCACAGCAGAGTTTGTTCCTTGACCAGGGAAGGTACATCGTGGAGAAAAGGGGGGGGG